GCACAGCTAGTTTTCACCATTAACAGCAGCCGGCTCTGTTCCTCCTGGGTATTTTGGCCTCTTGCGGGGTTTTTCTTTTTTTTTGTTTTTGCCTGGTGGGGGTCTGCCTTTACTATGGTCCCCCTTTCCTGTTCTAGGTGATTTTCTTTTGAATTCTTCTGTTGGCGGTACTCCCCGCTTGGCCCCCGTGAGTGAACACGTCCCGGGGGTTCAGCTTTAGCAGTTTGTTGGTAGATTTGGGCGCCAGTTCGCGGTCCCCGGCCTGGGCTTTCCTTAGTGTGTACCAAAGGCTAATGGCCCTGGGAAACCCCATGGGGGCTCCTTGGTCCTCTAGGTGTGTCCCCAGAGTCCCCCTCGCGTCCTGCGAGTTTGACGGTTGATCTGTCCCCTTGTCTCAGGGTGACACTCACCGGTTGTGCCTCCGCCATGCTGCCTCTTGGGTCCTTGTTCTTGTGACCCGGAGTCGTCCGATGATTGTTGTTGGTATGCGCTCTCCTTCACCCAGGCCACTGGTCTTGATAATCGGGTGCAGGCGGCTGTGGCGTTGCTTGCTGGGTGTATGTTGCTGCAACGCTCTTGGTTGTTTGCGGCCCCGGATGCCCCGAGGCTGCCTCGTTTTGGTGGTTGGGGTCTGGACTTGGGGGTGGGGGTCGCTTCGACTCTGGCTCCTTCCACTTCTTGATCTTCTGTTCTACTCGCTTCCTCCCTTGCTTCCTGCTCCGAACCATAGGCGGGTTTCGGGGTTGGGGCGGGGTCTGGTTGGGTTGAGACTCGGGCGGTCTCGGGGGTTTTCCTCTTCCGGGGTTGCGGCGGAGGCATTTGAGTCGGTTCCTCCAGCCGTGCCGTATGGGTCTGACCAGTGGGCTCCCTTCATTAGTGTTTGCATGGCTGCCCCGGCTTTTCCTTGTTAAGCTGGGGGTTTGGGGGTGCGTCTCGGCCCTGGGTCATGCCGTAGTGGTTCCCAGGGTTAGGGAGGGGTTGCCTGGGGGGCCTCGGCCCCGTTTGCCCCTCTTGGGTCTTTGTACCTTTGGTGTGGGGCTGGCAGTTCCTCAGTGGGGTTGTTCCTTCCCTCTGTGTTCCTGTTGTTTTCGGGTATACCCCTCCCTGGGTTCGGTTCCGTGTTCCTTCGGGTTCGTTGGTCCTGTCGTTCCTGGGGGTGTGTCTCATCCCCTTTTCCTTACCCTTTTCGCTCTTATGTCGCGATGCTGTTCACAAAAAAAAAAAAAAGAAGTGTTCAGGTAAGGTATATCCATCCAAGGTGTGAAACAAACATTGATGGATTTCTATATTGACCTAGTACATAGTGCCTAAACCGCTTCGTATCATTGTCCCTGCATGTTCCTTGGTCAGGGGTGCTTGTCGTGGTTTTCGTTGGTTCGCGAGTCTCTTCATACCTTCCAATATTATTGGAACGTCTGTTGACTTTCGATGTGGTTTCCCTCGTGTCTTTTGTCGGCCCTGTTGGTTCCCTTCCATCATCTGTTTTCTTTTGCTTCGTTTTCGCCTTGTTTTGTTTTCGTCGTCTCTGCTTCCAGTTTCGGCGTTCTATGTCTTCGTTCCGCACGCCTTCCTGATGTTTGTACGATGTCTGTACGTTGTGTGTACGATTTGTGTGTCTGCCTGGTGTACGAGCCACGCCTCCCGGTGGATGGGTGGTGCGTTTCGTACCTCGTGTGCTGGGGCCGCGGTGTGCGTTTTGTTTACGGGCGGTATGCTCGTGTGTTCGCGTCGTTTCTCGTGGTTTTCTACGGCTTCTTGCTCGTTTCTCCCTCCAGTCGTGGCCCTCTGGATGCTGAGGGTGTTTTGGATTTATATCTGGGGGTGTCACTTTGTTCTTCCTCTGCTTCTTGGTGTGGGATGGTTTGGCGTGGCGCCGCCTCACTCTCTGTACTGCTTCGTCTTCTGCAGGGCGCGCGCCTCTGGCCGTATTTCTCCTTCGACTTCGCATTTTATTCAGGTAACGGTACATACTATGCCTACTGCCTCGAGTATGCATGGCTTTTGGGCACACCTTTAGCGCTGCTCCTAGTATGTTACTTGGCTCGCCTGTGTTGTGGCACGGTCGTGTGTCTGCTCTGCAGGTGAGGTTGTCTTGTCTGGCGCTTCTGTCGGCCTAGTGCTGGTTCTCACTTTTGGTGGGGTGCTTGCCTAGTTGTGCTTGCGGGGGTTGAGCTCTGGCTCTTGGGTCCCGCTTCTCCTGTCAGTTGACAGTTGTGCAGTTTCCTGAGCCTTCTGGGCTCTGTCTTCACGTTTGCTTCTGTGGGTGGCGTCTCCCTCCTCCAAATGGTTTTTTGGTGCTTTTCGCTTCCTTTCCCCTCTGACATTAATCAGGTTCTTTTTAGTGTCTGTGGCTCCTTTGGGTGCTCACTACCTCCTGTGTCCCCTTGTGCGTACAAACATACGGACATAAGTACAGTAGACCTGCGGAGGGCCTATTGGCCCGTGCGAGGCAGCTACTGTTTCTTACCATCCATTCCCACTCACATAAATGTCCAACCCGCCCTTGCCCCAATCGTGGGGCCCCACCACCATGTTACGTGGTAATTGGTTCCGCGCATCACCGGGCCTATTACAGTGCAGGTCATTCCTCCGGTCTTTCCTGATTCTGCGCTTATCCCTTTCATGCCCATTGTTTCGTGCCCACAATGTGCCGCAAGAGTAGCGTGTGCCACTATCCCAGCTTCTATTGTTTCGTGGAGATTGGTCAATAAACACAAACACTAAGGAACTACTTATCTTTTGTTGCGTATTCAGTAGTTGCGGGTGATATTTTGGCGGGCAATGGTGCGGGTTGGGCGCTCTGAGTGTCGGTGCAGTGTCTCGCATGTCTGTTCTAGACCACACTTGCAGGTAGTCTAGATATTATTCGCTACTCTGCTGGTTATATGCTTGGGGGCCGCCTCACAGTTCTCCACAGGTTGGCAGGACTTTTCCTTGGACGTACGGAACGGTTTGAGTTCCATCGTTGGTACTTTGGAGAGCTTTGCTTCTCTAGTTAGGCTCATGCGTTTGGAGCGAGTATCTTCTTGGGATACTCTACTCACTCCGCCACCCTTGTTCACTGTTCCATGCTTGTTTACTCTTCCCTGCTTGGCGGGATTGCGTCGATGGCTCCTGACTGGAATGTTTGGTCACCTTGCATGTGTCTTTAGTGCCTTTTTTGTCCATCTTTTGTTCTTTGTTGTCCTATGGGGCTCTGCCCCGCATTTTGGTGCTTTTGTTTTAGTTGTCGACCCCTGGGTCTTTTCCCTGTCTGGACACTTTCCTTGCCTATCTTCGGTGCCTGACTGCACCCTGCTGTCTGTAAGGTCCCTCAAGTATGTATGCGCTCCTCTACACATTTTGTGGTTGGTCGTGTGCATTACTTCCCGGCCGGCTCTTTGGGCTGTATTCGTGGCTTTCCTTACTTATTTCCGTTTTTCCTCCCCCATGCTACACTTTTTTGTGTATCTGGGTCAGTGCTTCTTGATTATCCTGTTTGGTGCTCCGGTGGGCCTCTGTCCATGTTTCACGTCCTGCTATTGGACTTCTACGGTGTTCCGTTTTGGTACCGAGTTCCTGCGATTTCTGTGTGGTTTTCTGCAGGCTTCGAGTTGCGCTGTCTGTTGGGGGGGGGGGTGGACTTTTCGGTCTGTCGCTCCTGTCTTCCTGGTTCCTTTTCTTGGAACCGAGTTTGCTGGGTTCCGGTCCTGGTTTCGGTTTTTCTTTGTTCCTTTTCCGGACCGGGTGTGTTTGCTTTCCTGTGGTTCTCGTCCTCGATAGTTCTCCTCTTGGATGCCTCGGGGATGCGTGTATCATTCTTCCCTGCTGGAGCTAGTTATGTTGCTCCTTTGGGTTGCGGGGTCGCTGTTTTTTAGGTTCGCGTTTTGCGCTTTCGATCGTGGTGTTCGTTTCTCGTCGTTTGTGTCGGCACAGGTGGGTTTGTTATTGGTCTCCCATCTGCGTGTTTCGTCTCGGGGGCGGTGTTTGGTTTTCCTATCACTGCGAAGGGACCTTCGGTCTTTGATAGGGTTGGCTTGTCTTCCCTTCGGGGTTGTTCTGGGTCCATCGTCTGGGATTGTCCTGTCACCTCATGTTGGGTGGTGCTGACAGAGCCGCTCCTGCTTGCGTTCAGTGTTGCGGTTCCTTCTGCTCCATTCCACTTGCTGTCCTAGGCGTTGTTCCCCTCTGGCCTGCTCTTGAGTTTTGGGGCCGTCCTGGTCGTTGGCCTGGGTGGTCTTTTTCTTCTTGTTTTGGTCTTTGTTTTGTCTCTGGTTTTGGTTGTTCAGTTAGGACGTGTGGTATCCGCCTCCCGGTTCCTTCCCTGTTTTACTTATCTTTGGTGAGGTAGCTCCGGGGAGCCGACGGGGCTTCCCCCAGAAAACCAGCGTTGAATGTAATGAAACGCCATTTTCTGGGTGAGTCCCAGAGGCTCCCCGGCATCCCTCCCTCCCTCCATCCGGTCGGCGGCGTTTTTCGCGTATTTTGACATCCAGCCTAAGAACTGCCAGTTGGATCGCCGGCATGGAGGGTCTGGGGCTCGCCCTTCCCCCTCTTGGGGAAGGGGGGATATCCCAGACGGTGGCGTGGCGACGTGATGACGTCATGCTAGTTTGATAATTTTGTTTGGGGAGTTCTGTCCACTCGTTCGGCTTTCGGTAGCAATAATTTCACCAGAATAGGGGTTTGTTTTGGGGCGCCTACCTTTCTGGGTGCCTGTCCTGGTCGATGGTAGACATAGAATGCTCCCAATCACAAGGGGGTTTCTATAGGCCATTGCTCCTCGTGCCTCTCTGAGGGGCCAGGTTCTGGCTCGTGGTCCCCGGTAGGCAAGAACTCCTAGCACTTTGATGCCAGAAAGTTATACATATCCATTCAGCCTGGATAGCTCCGGGGAGCCTCTGGGACTCACCCAGAAAATGGCGTTTCATTACATTCAATGCTGGTGTTTTTAATTGATTGTTAAGCATGGTTACACTTGATAGTAAATGTATTTTAAAGAATTTTTTTTTCTTCAACAGAGAGGCAGAAGGCAGTTGTAGTACCAATGCCGGTGACTCCGGGGGTAAAGCGTTCACATGACAGAGAGTCTACCAGTTCTACTGGATGTGCAACCCCAAGTAGGAAGGATTCAAGTGGTAAACGTGCTAAGTTATCTGACAAAGCTAATGGATCTAGACAACTAAACAGGCCATTATCAGAAACCTTCAGTACTCCTGTTTGTAAAACAGAAAATCGTCCATTCAAAAGAAGCCGTGATAAGAGAGAGAAGTCGGTCTCTCACAATTCAAGGGCATCTCATCCACCAGAGCACTGCAGAAAACTAATTGATAAGCCAACTAATACAAAATCTTCGGTCGTTAAACGTTTATCTGGCGAACGCCTATCGTCATTTGAGAGGAAACGCAAGAGATTGAGTAGCAGAGCGACACCCATTGTGGAGAACATGACAATAGAAGGTAGGATTATGGGTTATTTCGTCTCAAATCACCAAAAAGTCACCTATGGCTCCCACTTGACCACCTTCAAATGCCATGAAATTTTGTAGTAAGATAGCCCTAGACTCCAAATGACACTTTGCAAAATATTAGAGCTCAATCTGCTTTGGTTCTTAAATAACAGGTCCATATCCAATGGGCTCTCTTCCCGTTAATGTGTAAGTACTACAAAAATGACCAACTTGACCCTTTGTTAAATCATTTCTATTGCCTGTAGGAGTGTGAAATTTGACATACCAGGACAACTTTTGGTGTAGAATAACGTACTGTAATTGAAAAAGCAGTATGGGTGACCATTCATCCATGCTAAAATCACTGCCAAATTTTGTTGCGAGAAATTTGGAGACCACTTACTCATCAGTAAAAGGTTTAAATGCCATGATCTTTTGCAGTGATGTATAACAAGCACAATATTATGCAGTGACGCAATAGCAACTCTGTTGTATCCATATGTCCATAGGTGGCCCACTTGAAAGTTGACCAAAAAAAATTTATGTGCAAAACTAGCCAACTTTCAAGGCAAAATATCACAATATACATCATTCTCAATTTGGTTTTGAATGACACCGTTGGATAGAGCAGATTTTTCTGTACAAGAGTAACTTTTATTTAAGTTGGGATCTGAATTCCTAGTTCAGCCAGAGGACTCTGAAAATGACATACCTTGGTGCGATATCGAAAAAATGAAATTATGATTCTCCATCTTCTTTGTGCACTGATCATGACATTTTTTTCCATTCTTTCCAGGACACATTCAACTAAATTCTTCACCCTTAAAAAACTGTACAGTACTACCATTTTCTTCACTTCCTCAGGAACTGACTTGCCCTGCATTTTCTTAGGAATTGCTAGTATTCCCTGTTGTTCTTTCAGCTTCCTAGCTTAGCGAACCATGTAATCTGAAACTTTGAATTGCTCCATTGTCTTTTTGATAGACCAGCTTTGTGGCACGAGGGTTAGGGTTTGTGTTTTTTCTTGGCGCTTTGCCACATGGAATTTTAGCTTCATTTCTTCAATGAGTTTATTGAAGTCTTGGCAATTTCTGCACTGTTGGCTAGAGTAGCCAACAGTGCACAAACCAACCAAGTTTTGGTACCAACAGGTTTTGGCAATCATTATTTCCAATTGCAGCAATCTGCTCGGCAATTATTTCCTGTGCTTGGCTAATCTTACGCTTTGCATAACCATACTTATCCCTTGCACTAACTCGTTCATATTTAATAGGTGAGATGCCTAATACTGATAAATTTGTGTTTACACTTTCACAGATTTCCATATTATCAGCAGAGCCATCAGATTTAGTAGAGCTGGACTCACTCACCTACTTACTGACGAATTCCTTTCTGCATAATGTGCACAACTTTTGGCCAGGCTTAATGCTGACTTTTAGCATATCTGACATTTTCTCTGCAGTAGCTACTGTGATTGGTCGCAAATCTTTTTGCTTTACACGACATTTCTTCTTGAAGGAATTACAGCAAGTTTTTTGCAAAAATTCAAATTTCGTCAACAGCAAAGCTTCATGATGGAGACATACTTGAGATTCTCCATCCCAGTTCAGTTCACTTTGCTTTGCTATCAGTTTTTGATCTTCTGCACTATACTGTTTTAGAAACTTCAAGCCTTTGTTGGGAGTGTAGGTTGTTAAGTGACACTCAGAAGAGCCACGCTCATGGCTAGCAATAGCACACGGCAATAAACCAATAGAATCCTGATTCATAACGTATCTGTAATCGAATTCAAATCAAATTATTTAACCAAATGAATACAGTAATTTCAAGTGAGACCTGTAATACATTAATATTAATATTGCTTTTTATTTATTTGTGTATTTATTGCAAGTAAATACACACATAAGTAAACAACAATGTTTGACCTGCTGACACGATACTACAAAGATGTAAAGATAAATATAGAACATGAGCCTAAAATAGCACTGATTGTTTAATAATAATTCTGAATCCCACCCAAAAATGTTCTACCCAATTAAGCGTAAAATTTTTCCAATCAGTTTGGATATCAATTTGCTAGCAGTCATGATCAGTGCACAAAGAAGATGGAGAATCATAATATGATTTTTTTATATCATACCAAGGTATGTCATTTTCAGAGTCCTCTGGCTGAACTAGGAATTCAGATCCCAACCTAAATAAAAGTTACTCTTGTACAGAAAAATCTTCTCTATCCAACGGTGTCATTCAAAACCAAATTGGGAATGATGCATATTGAGATATTTTGCCTTGAAAGTTGGCTAGTTTTGCACAAAAATTTTTTTGGCCAACTTTCAAGAGAGCCACCTCTGGACATATGGATACAGCAGAGTTGCTATTGCATCACTGTATAATATTGTGCTTGTTATACACCGTTGCAAAAGATCATGTCGTTTAGACCTTTTGCTGATGAGTAAGTGGTCTCCAAATTGGGGACCAAATTTCTCACGACAAAATTTGGCAGTGATTTTAGCATGGATTGGTAGCTGAATGGCTACCCAAACTACTTTTCTGGGGGGAGCTCCGTCGGCTCCCCGGAGCTTTACCGGCTGATATGCTAATGTCAGACTTTGGCATCAGTCATGTGTATGGAGTTCTAGGGCCTACCGGGGACCACGGCCAGAACCTGGCCCCCTCAGAGAGGCAAGGGGAGCAATGGCTTATAGAAACCCCGGTGTGGTAGGAAGCATTCTATGTCTGCCATCGACCGGGTCAAGCATCCAGAAAGGTAAGCATTCCAAAACAAACCCCTATTCTGGTGAAAATTGCTACCTAAAGCCGAACTAGTGGATAGAACTCTTCAACAGAAAACAAGGAAACTAGTATGACGTCATACGTCACTGCGCCGCTGTCTGCGCAGCTCTCCCCTCCCTGGGAGGGGCAAGGGGGAGCCCCAGACCTCCTACGCCGGCTATCCACCCATCAGTTCTTCGGCTGATGCTATAGGCACTGGTTATGTGCTCCTGCTCCAGTGGTTGTTTCAGCACTGTACCTAGAGTGTGGTGTCTGTTTTCTAGGTGGTGCATGAGCCGGGAGTGATTCTCCAGTACTCGGGCTGCATGCGTCTAGTGTTCCCTTCCCTAGGTGCCCTGTAAGTACTGCCCTTGGGGCCGCCTTCCACAAGTTCCTTGGGTCCTGCCCCTGCTTGGCCGTTTACTGCTTGGTTTTCGGCCGCTCTTTGTGTGCTCGGTGTACTGCCTCCCTTGTTCGCCTTAGAGTAAGGGGCAGTTTTTGCACTGGTGGGGCGCAGGGTACTGTGCAGCTTGTCTTTACCAATCATAACGGCCGGCTCTGTTCTGCTTGGGTACGCTGTCCTCTTGCGGGGTTTTCTTTTTCTTTTTGTTTATCTACCTGGTGGGGGGGTCTGCCTTCGTTCTTGCCCCTTGTGTCCCTTGTGTTTTGAGTATTTTCTGGTGGTACCCCCTGCTAGGTCCCGTGAGTGTACACGTCCCGGGGGTTCAGCTCTTAGAAAGTTGTTTGGTAGCTTTGGGTGCTGGTTAGCAGTACCCTGCCTGGGATTACCTGAGCGCGAGTCCTCTTATAGTAAACGCTCGGGACCCTGGGAAACCCCTGGGGGCGCGCTGGTCCGATGGATGTGACCCCGGAGTCCCCCCCTCGCTTCCAGCGAGTTTGAGGGTTGCTCTCACCCTTTGTCTCTGGGTGACTCTCTGTTTTGCCTCCGTCTGCTGCCTGTGGGATCGGTGACACCTTCGACCCGGAGTCCTGCGAGTTTGGTTGCTCGTTGTGGCTCGGTTACCCAGTTGTGCTGACAAAGCGGGTGCGGGCAGCAGGGGCGTTGCACTTGAGCCTTGGTGGTGGCAACGTTCTCGTGGTTTCCTCCCCGGGACCCCCGGGGTTGCCCCGTTGTAGTTCGTTTTGGGACTTGGGGGTGTTGGTTGCTTCGGTTCCATCCACGCCCCCTTGTCTTTCCCCTGGATCACCCTTCCTGCCTGCATCCGGTTCCTTACCGTCTGTAGGTTTGGGGCAGGGTTTTTGATGGTGTTGAGACTCGGGCAGTCTCGGGGAATTCCCCTTCCGGGGTAATGACGGGGGCATTTGAGCCTGTTCCTCCAGTCGTGTTGTATGAGTCTGCCAGTGGGCTCCCTTCCTTAGTGTTTTCACGACTGCCCCGGTTTTCTGGTACAGCCGGGGCTTTGGGGGAACAGCTCGGCCCCGGGGCCTGTTGTGTAGGTTGCCGGGGCTGGGGAGTGGCTGACTTGGGGGGCCTTGGCCCCGTTGGGCCCCGTGGGGTTTTTTATCCCCCTCTAGGCGGAGCTTGTGGTTACGCGGAGTGGGGTCTTTCCTCCCCACTCGCCGTACGTGCTGTTGGGCGTCGGCCCCTCCCCGGGCTCGGTTCCTTGGCCTTTGCATCGGTTGGTTCCGTCTTGTGGGTGGATGTTTCCTCCCACCCCTTTTTGGGACGGTGTTTTCGTCACGTTTCCCCGTTCGATGGGGTTCTACGTGACTTCTGATCTCGGGTGCGCCTGCGCCTTTGTGTGCCTTCGGACTAGTGTTGGCTTCTGTGTTCTCGTGGGTTCGGGAAGGTTTTTCGCTACTTCCCGTATTATTGGAACGTCTGTCGGCTCCTCGTCCTTGTCGCCGTTTTGTGCTACTTGTGGGCCGGTTGGGCTACCTGTGAGCCGGTTGGGCTACTTGTCGCCCGGTTGGGTTCCTTTTTGGGCTCTTTGCTTCTTTGGCAGGTTTTATTGTTCCTGCTTCCTCTTTTGGCTACTTTTCTAGTGCAGTAGTCCTGGTTGGCGCCTTCCCGCAGAGAGGGTTGTGCGGTTCGCCCTGCGTGTTATGCGCATGCGCTGTGGAGTTTGTTTTGGTCTGGGCGGTGTTTCAGTGCTGGTGTTTTGCGCCCTTTTTGCTACGGTGCTTCGCCTCTCGTTCTTCTCCCTGGCTGCGGTATGTGCCCCTTCGCTCCGTGAAGGGTGTCCTAGGGTGTCCTAGTTCCCAGTTGTGGGGAGGACGCCGCGGTTTTCCCTGTGTCATGGGTGTGGACCGCCTCCTTCGCCTCTCCCTGCTCTCCTGCAGGTCCGGCAGAGTCCGGCTCTGGCGTCTTCACCTGGCGGTGCTCCCAGGTTCTTCTGGGCACGGTTGAGTTGTGTCAAGTTCGTGCCACCATTCGCCAGGTGAGTTTCTGCGGTCTGGCGTCTTTTGGCCGGGCGCTGGATGCGGTGTTGTTTATATACCTGTCTTTATTTAGGTATATTTTTGTACGACTGAGACCGTTCGCACACCAGTAACTGTCCCTTTTTCAACCCTTCCTGTCCCCCTCATATGCATGTCCAACCCATGCTGGAGTCATTCAGGGGACCCACCTTTTTCATGTTGTGAGGTGTGGGGGTTGTAGGGTTGGTTCTGTGCTCACCTGGTAAGGCTCCTGGCTGTGCTTGCAGGGTTTGAGCTCTGGCTCTTGGGGCCCGCCTATCTGGTAGAACTTGTGGGATAGTACCAGTGGAGTGCAGTGGTGCTATTGGCACAATTGGGGAACACTGTATTACCATCAGAGGTCTGTGCTTGTTACACGACCTACTTGCGAGCATAAGCCTTCTTGCTGGTTCGTCCGTGGACTTCCAGGGCACACTAGCCTGTTTTTGTATAGCAGTTCCGGCCCATCCTGGTTGTGGGGGTATGTGGGCCGACGGGTCGCTCCTAGCAGCTGCCTGGTGGGCCATCCTCTGGCCAGTCTAGCCTGGCCTTGGGCTGGGCTTGGGGTGTACTAGAGCTCCCAGTACCCCATCCAGCAGGTATCGAGCGGGGTTTCTCCGCCGTCGGTCGCCTGGTGCAGGTTTCTGGGCCTGCTGGGTTTTGTCGTGTCTCTGTTGGCCCTGTCTGGGGTCTGCCTGCTCCGTTTCTCTGCCTTTGCAGAAGGGAGTTGCTATTTACATGTTGTATGTTGCGGTGGTGCCTGTTGCTGCTGCTGCACGTGTGCATTGGTACCGTGTTTCACGGTGGCGTGTCCTTGTTCCTGTGTCCGGTTGTGGTGTAGCACTTTCCTGCTGCTTTGTGCCTGGGGATTGCGTGGGGGTTTTCTGTCCCTGCCTGATTGTCCACCCCTGGTTGTTTTCCTGGGATTTTTGTGCTTCTGCTCTTTCTTCCTGCCTCCTCTGCAGCAGGGGTGTTCTGCGTGTGTTCTTGGGCGTTTTTCAGCCTGTGTCCTGTGATGTGCTTCTTTGTCTCGGTCTATTGCAATTGTTCGTACCCCTTGGTTCGGGTACTGTTCTGGCAGCGACCCTTCCGCCTTCTTTGGTTTCCTAGCTTGCCCTGCCGGTTGTTTTTTTTTTGCGGGTCTTGCGATGTCTCGCATCGGACCCGTCGTTTCTGACCTCCTGGCGGGCTTGCATGCTTTGGGAAGTTTTTCTGTTTGGCAGACGTTCCATCTCCTTGTGCCGCCTGGGTTTCGGTGGTCGCGCCCGAGATCTTCCCGCGGCTCCGCCTTTTCCTTTGCTCGGAGTGGCCTTGTCGGGGCTGCTTATGTTCTGCCTCGCGGTCTCACCTCCGGTTGGTGGTCTGGTGGCTTCGTGGTAGGTGTCCCACCTGCGTGCTTCTCTTGGCGGCAGTATGGGGTATTTTGGCGGTCCTTCCTTTTTATGTCCCTTCTTAGGTGGTTACTCTTTTTAGCTTGGTTTACTCTCGGCTTGGTTTTCTGGTGGGGGTTGGGGGCCGTCGTCTTGCCACATACTGTCGCCTCTTTTCGTGTGGCGCTGGCGGGGCCGCTTCAGCTTGCTTTCGGTCTAGGTGTTGCTTCTGCTCCGTTAGCAAGCTGTCTTGTGCGTCATTTCATCTCCGGCCTGTTCATGCGCCACTTGCACCATCCTGGTCTCTGGTCAGCGTGCTCTGTCTTCTCCTCGGTTGGCAGTGCCCCTTTGGTTCCGGTGTGTTTTTTTCGTCGGCTCTTTCCTTTTGGCCTTTGCCTCTGGGGGTCGAGTCGCTGAGTTTTCTTGCTCCTTCGGTTTTAGCGTTTTGGTTGTTTGGTGGCAGCAGTCTCCATCTTTTCTGGCGTGGGGTGGGGCTGCTGCGTTCTGGAGGGGTCCAGGGTTTGTTGGTGCTTCGTTGGTCGGGCCGGGGGTGTGTCGGGTTTTGTGTTCAGTGGTGGCCCTCCGCTGTGGTTTGCGTGCCATGGCGTTTGGGTCCGGAGCGGGTTTTGCGTTGATCCGGTTCTGTTCTTCCCGGTTCGTGGGTGATGGTGTTCCGGGTGGTCAGCCGTGTTCTTGTGGCTAAGCTGCCTGTGTTCTTCCCTCATGCCTGTGGCATTCGTGGCTTCGCTGCTCTCGCTGCCGTCTGGGTGACGTGGCCTTGCGGTCTTTCGGGCATGGATTTTTGGTGTTTGTGCGGGGGTCTTGCTGCTCGTTGTTCTCGTGTTGTTCCTGGGACTTTTCGGGGCTGTGGCGCCTTGGGTTGGCATTTGCTGCCGGTTGTCTTGCTTCCGTGGGGGGTGCGTGGTGTCCACCTCCCGGTTCTGTCCCTTTGACTTTCCTCTGTGGGTAGTTAGCTCCGGGGAGCCGATGAGGCTCCCCCCAGAAAACCAGCGTTGAATGTAATGAAACGCCATTTTCTGGGTGAGACCCGGAGGCTCCCTGGCAACCCTCCCTCCGGTCGGCGGTTTACCGCATGTTTTGACATCCAGCCTCAGAACTGATGGGTGGATAGTCGGCGTGAGAGGTTTGGGGCTCCCCCTTCCTGCTCCCGGGGAGGGGGGAGCTGCGCAGACAGCGGCGCGGTGACATATGACGTCATACTAGTTTCCTTGTTTTATGTTGAAGAGTTCTATCCACTAGTTCGGCTTTAGGTAGCAATTTTCACCAGAATAGGGGTTTGTTTTGGAATGCTTACCTTTCTGGATGCTTGACCGGTCGATGGCAGATATAGAATGCTTCCTACCACACGGGGGTTTCTATAGGCCATTGCTTCCCTTGCCTCTCTGAGGGAGCCAGGTTCTGGCCGTGGTCCCTAGTAGGCCCTAGAACTCCATACACATGACTAATGCCAAAGTCTGACATTAGCATATCAGCCTGGTAAAGCTCCGGGGAGCCTCCAGGTCTCACCCAGAAAATGGCGTTTCATTACATTCAACGCTGGTTTTTTTATTACACTGCTCTATTCCGTACCAAAAGTTGTCCTGGTATGCCAAATTTCACACCTCTCTGGGCACTAGACGTGATTTGATAAAAGGTCAAAGTTGGCTCTTTTTACGATATGTACTCTTTAACGGGATGAGAGCCCATTGAACATGGACCTATTATTTAAGAACCAAAGCAGATTGAGCTCTAATATTTTGCACAATTTCATTTGGGGTCTAGGGCTACTTTATTATAAAATTTCATTAGATTTAGAAAGGGTCGAGTGGGAGGCCTTTGGTGAATTCACATGGAATGACCCTTATGAAAGTAATATTTACTTCTTAAGTTTCAAAGTAAATTTAGCAGTGTGGAAGGGGGAGGGGGGATGTCGTCTGTGCATTCTACAATTTTTGTAAAAATTTATGTGCTGTACATAATTTTTAAATAAATTTATGACATTTTTTGTAGTCGTGAAGCTTAAGAATTAGGAAAACACAATCTATTGTTGCTGCATTATTTATTATTTTATTGTTGCTGTATTATTTTGGTCAGTGTTTTATCTTAATTAGCTCTAAGATTTATAATGAATTAATTATCCTATAAACTAGAATGATACTTATATTATTTCTGTCTACATGTATTTCAGACCAAATTAAGAAAATACAACGTGTCCAACATAAGATGCTCTATATGCTTGTTGAAATACAAGATATGTTGAAGTCATCAGGAAATCATTTGGAAAAAGATTCATTGGAAGATTGCAGAATTACTCAAGCAACAACTCCTAGCGAACTTGCCGCACTCGAGGAAGACTTGAAAGATCTAACAAAACGTCAGATTCTGGTAAGCATTTACTAAATTAAGATGTGAATATTTTTCTTTCTGGAGAAATTCCTGACTGGTTCCCTGAAGCATTCTCCATACTAAAAGTCACATTCATTGTAGAAGTTGTGTTTGGCCTACCAGAGACCAGAGCCAGAACTTCGGCCCCTCACAGAAGTGTAGGGTAAGTGACAACTTGCCATCCCACTGGCAAAAGCATTCAGAAAGTCAGCAGAGCTTTACAGACAACTGGAGGGTTCACATAAAACAACGCCTTGAAACTGCCAGACAACTTGGAAAGTGATTCACACAGAACAAGGGATTCATCAACTCGAAACTTGTCATTATCAATCAGCACTGCTAGATGCCCCAGCCCACAACCACTCTCCTGACTGGCCAGTTCTGTTGCTTATGTCTTGCTGGCCTGTTTTATTTATAGTCCTTTGGTCTACCAGTCATGGGCACACCCCACTATTTCAAGCAAATTGCTAACCATCTTTGGACTTTGTGCTGCAGGGGGGGGGGGGGGGGGGCATTTGCTTGTACAGTATATTGTTTTCTAAAGTCTACTATGGGCTCACCATAGCCTGTGCTACTTGGAACTTTGTGTTCCAAGTAGGTGAATCTAAAATAACAACATAGTTTTTTTATTTTAGTGTTAACTTCAGGTGCATGTTTTATCGTGGCTTCTTGTGTGTGTTTGGCTTTCATTGTATTTTGGGGTGCATGCCCACTGGGTTTTCTTCATTGGGTGCCCGCTAATGCTTCCCTTGTGCAGTCAGAACAGTGTTCTCATGTGTTTGGAGTTCGGCCCTGAGAGCCCAGGCCATCAGGATGCAGGGCCTCACCTCGGGCTAATTATGACTTTGATTTCTCTGTTTGGCTTGGGGCATTCTTTTGATTGTGCTGGAGTGCACTGGGGTTCATGTGCTTGTTTATATGGCTCACCACAATCACCATTCAGAGTCTGGTTGTTTTGGCAGTTGGAATTAAAAAAAAAAGAAGCCTTTGAAGCTATTGGGACCACTTAAAAAAATTAAATCTGTATTTCCTGGAGTGTAGGCAGAAGAAATGCATAATGATTTACATGTGGAAATTACTGTACTAGGAGGACTGGTTTCAGATCTGCACACAGAAATAACATCACATGAGACAGCATGGCAGGATCTGCAAAATAGCCCCACTGAAAAGCAGAGGTGCAATAGGCACATTGAGAGAGAACTCAATCAACATCAACGTCTAAAGATTTATCAACACTCCCTCTATGCTGAAAAATCATTAGAAACTTTTCTTTTGCAAACAGAGTGGTAGACGGTTGGAACAAGCTAAATGAGAAGGTGGTGGAGGCCAAAACTGTCAGTGGTTTAACCCTTGGGCTGCGTAGTACTTACATAGGTGATAGGAGTAACTGTCACGGAATTGTGCACATCATACATAGGCGATTGAGGGTTCTGCACACGATTTAAATGTCCTGGGGTGTAAAGGGGGCACCCATACTTTAGCCAGGGACGATAGTAAACAGACACCATTTTGGACAAAATCCAGCATAGGCCACAATTGTATGGAGGCCTTAGTTTCACGATAGACACCATGGCAAGTGCACCATGCACTAGCAGCCGACCTCGCTCAGCACAGCGCGCAATCCAATCTTTAACTGTGGATGAAATTCATCAGGAATTGTTCCAGGAGGGTGAGGAATCTGATATTGACGACTCAGACATCGAGGAAGACTACACACAGCCCTTAGATGAGGATACGACTGACAGTGAGAGTGAACATGTGGGTGCCACAACGGTCTGGCCTAGCCTCTCACCTCTGCCTCCTTTCCCACACTCAACACCACTTCGTCCACAACCACATAATCCATGTGTTACTTTGCAAGATGATGATGTTTTGGGCGATGAGTCTGAGGAAGGTTCGGCCGAGCGGACAGCACATTGGACTTGTGATCCTGTGGTCCCGGGTTCGATCCCGGGCGCCGGCGAGAAACAATGGGCAGAGTTTCTTTCACCCTATGCCCCTGTTACCTAGCAGTAAAATAGGTACCTGGGTGTTAGCCAGCTGTCACGGGCTGCTTCCTGGGGGTTGGAGGCCTGGTCGAGGACCGGGCTGCGGGGACACTAAAAAGCCCCCAAATCATCTCAAGATAATCTCAAGAAGGTGAATCATTTTCTGGTTTTAGTAATTTAGAATCTGAGAATAGTTTTACCATGACTGTTGCTAGTGCCACTGGGATGCATTGAGTTGCCAAGCGATGTTTTGTCCCATCAGCAGCGTCTTGCCCAGCCAAGCGCCGCCGCATGGCACCACATGGAGACAATGAGGAACAAAACCCCTCATCTTCAAGTAATTTTCCCTTATCGTCTGTTCCCACCCTTACTGTTGCTATACAGGCTTCAGCTCCTGGTCCACGGATTCCTCGCTGTGGTGCCACTGTTGCCTCTCGGAAGTCAGCAGATGTATTTGTGTGGAGTGATGGTGCAGATTTTGTGCCAGAAACTCCTACCATTGACGATAAAGATGTTGGGATTACAGGCTTTTTCCATGGTAATGGTGACAAAATGAGTGAAATTGACTTCTTTACCGTATATTTTGATGAGCCATTCATGGCACATATTGTTCAGGAAACTATCAAATACGCCGCTGATCTCATTGAAGGTGGGGAATTATCAGATTTTTCGTGATTACAGCATTATAAAGATACTACTGTAGGTGAAATGTATGTGTTTCTAGGGAGAGCTCCTTCGGCTCCCCGGAGCTATCCGGCTGATACGGATGTATGAGCTTTGGGCATCAATGTACAAGGAGTTATAGGCCTACCGGGAACCACGAGACAGAACTTGGCCCCTTCAGAGAGGTGCGAGGAGCAATGGCCTATAGACACGCCCTATATATGGTTTACAAGTGTTCTATGTCTGCCATTGACCAGGTCAGGCACACAGAAAGATAGGCCACCAAAACCATCCCCCCCCCCATTCTGGTGAAGAAATGCTACCAACGCTGAACGAGAGGATAGAACTCTCCATGAAGAAAAACGAGCATGATGTAAACTCGTTTCCAATGCGCCATCGTCTGCACAAGGTTGCTGTTACGAATCTGTGTTTGATTTTAACATTCATCGTGATAAATATGTATGTCCATTATTTCTTTTCCCCGTTAAGTAAATATACAGTAACATGGTATCCAGTTGTGTTCCAGTATAATTATGTTTGATTTATTTGTAGCATGCTGTAGTGTGCCTGTATTGAATATTGTGTTAGGCTATTTGCAAGTCCATTCCTGTGGGGGGAGTCGGTGGCGGCTCACTGGGGGGATGACCATATTTGGAATTGCTCCAGTGGCAGGCCATGTATTCAAGCTAGCGTCAATGTTTCACCATTGAAATTATTCCTGTTATTGATTGTACTTAAATTCTTTTACACCTTAGCAGTGTTATATACTGTGACGGAGTTCCCCCCTTATAATTCTCCCACGCCTGCAGTAAGAGTCATGTCTACTTTTCCCAAGCGTTCTCTACGTTGCAGGCTACAATTTGATATATGGGAGAGAGTGAAGTGTTCTCGGAGGGCCGAGAAATTTGTGAAATAGTAATATTTTGGCCTGTGGTTTAGGCCCTTTAGGGAGCCAAGATGGCGCTTACCTCCCTGATCTCCCGCCAAAACCGTGTGACGTCAGTGGCACCGGATTGGTCACCGACAGCAATGTGGCACCGGGAGCCAATGAAAACCTCCCGTGGCAAAAGTGACGTCACGAAGGAAGGGGGTCCGGCCCGCGAGCCGGGCTGGCGCCAGGAGTCAGACACGACACGTCATAGAGGTCGGACGTGCGACGGTTGGTCCTGTCAGTTGGACAGTTGTTTCCCGCTCCCGTGGATTTACGCGTCACCTGAAGTCCGCCAGTACTCTGAGAAGTCTTCCCTAGTTCATGTGTTGAACCAGAAGAGGGAATTGACGGTTATTTGAGCAACAAGTGCTCCAGTCAGGTGCTGTGCAAGAAGCAGTGAAGCCGTGCAGTGACGTATGTTGACGTCTGTGGCAATTCACCAGTTCGTGACAGCGTAGTGACTGACAGAGCCACTGGGTAGCTGAGGAAGAGAGGACTATTTGGGGAAACCGGACGACTGTAGCCGAGACGTAGGCGACAGCCGTTGCTGGGAGAAGACGACGGCCAGGAGACCGTCTCCAACCTTCAAGAAGTCAAGAAGGAGGACGGACCTGCAGTGAGGAGGCACGGAGACGACGCGCTAAACGGTGGGACGACGAGAGGCTCTGGTAGGACACGACGACGTGTAGTGTGGGGGCGTTCCCGACACGAGGACCAGGAGCTACATCTCGACTCTCATCGGAGGATAGGGTGAAGTAGGTGTTTCTAGTTCCCTCCCCATTCCCCTTTAGTTAGCTATATTATTCGGCTATATTATCTAGCCTGAGGATTTTATATGTCGTGAGCAAGTCTCACCCATGTCACGGTAAAGCACCAGTGTGCTAGACAGTACTATCAAGAGTACTTGTAATATTCATGTTGATTATTGGTGTGTACAGGCACCAGGAACAAGTGATAAATTTACTGTGTTGTGTATATCTTTCTATAGATTTTGATATGAACATATAGTGGTAAATTATATATAATATTATGCCAGTATTTGAAAGTTAGGCTGTGTGCCCAGAAATCATTTATTTTCCATGTATTGATGTTTGATGTATCTACATTATATATGCTATGTTTATGCAGTGATAAGTCGTTTGTGAGTACAGTGAATTATTGCGTTATCGCCATCGAGAGAAAGTACTGAAAACTCCAGTGTTAATATTTCATAATATATTGTTGGATGAATAACAGTGTAAGGCCATTACAGTGAGTCATTATAGCATTGATTGTAGAAAAGACTGTTTGAGCCTGAGTACAGTGTAACCAAGTGATACGTGCTATTGTAGCCAATATCGTGTGTGCGAGTTCATAGTAATATTGGAGAATTTAAAGAAACAGCGCGCGCGAATCTAGAAAACAAGCAAAGCTTTCGC